TGTTGAGTTGCAGTTTTGTGTTCTGTTTCTTTGGTGTAGTATTTTTGTAAACGATATCCTTTAGAATCCGTTCGTCTGCTTACCCATACCTATAAATATCCACCAACAGTAATCACTATTCACACAACATTCAGCTTTGATAATGGATGCAGAATGCATTCAAAACGCGTCGGCCAACTCATTGCTATCTACAACTTTTACCCGTTGTTCTAACAACATTAAGACGGCTTATCGACTTCTTGAGAAGAATTCTAAGAAGAAAGTAAACCTACAGACATTGGTCTTGTTTAACAAAATCTGCCTACAAGATATTTTTAACTGCATCTTGTAGTGAAACAATGTTGACAAAATATTTAAAAAACTGCGTACCTACAAAATATTTCAATCTGCATGATTGAAATTATTCCATCATACCCAAATAAAACACTGGGTACACCAAGTTTACATTGGATATGATACACTGGCTACTGTCTGCGAATTACATTCACTACTGTTTTGTTTGTCTCAATCTAACTACCTTTGTTTATTTGTTATTCTCTGGGAGATAAACATTCTGCCAGTGGCATAGTTTTGCTGTAATGTTACATGCTGTACAAAGATATAATGGTATGACAGGTATGTTGTGAGGTTACAGCTTCATCTATGTTTCAGTGAGAATAACTAGCCATGTGAGTATCAGTAGTGGCTAAGCATAAATTATACGTTTATTCTGAGATTTCGAACATTGAATTTAAACAATATGTGACATGATTTTGAAGAGTATATAGTCTGAAGGAAGATTCAATAGACATATTTAATAACAGTAAATACACAGTGTTTGTGAATCAGTAAAGATTTTCCATTTTATGCATTACATTGTGTCCAGTCTCTTTCTTTCTCAGGCTCGGTTTCTCACAGATTCAGTATTGTTTGTTTTGAATTTCGCGCAAAGCTACACGAGGGTTATCTGCGCTAGCCACCCCTAATTTAGCAGTGTAAGACTAGAGGGAAGGCAGCTAGTCATCACCACCCACCGCCAACTCTT